CCCCCCCCCCCCCCCCCCCCCATCTATCGCAGGCACGCGTTTAACGATGTGGTGGTGGTGAACGTGCATCGCCCTTCGACGACGGCCCACCCCAGCGGCCGTAGCACCGGCGGCGGTGACACCGCGGGCGCCCTCCCCTCATTCCACGGAAGCAGCAGTAACAATAGTAGTAGAAGTAGTAGTAGTAGTAAGAGATCGCAACCCGCGAGACGACGACGCCGCAGTAGCACGAGCGAAGACGGCGCACACCCCGTCGTGTCGGAGGACGACAACAACAACAACTCCGATGATGATGACGGAGGGCGTGAGGCCAACGGCGGGGGGTCTAACGATGGCACCGGCCGGAACGGGTACACGTACCGGTGGGTGTATCCGGTCGTCCGCGGAACCCCCCCGGTCGGCCGGCTTGCGCATTCTGCGGCGGTGGTGCGCCTTGTGGAAGGGGAGGGAGGCGGGGGCCGCGGCTCCTGGCGGCGGCAGCAGCAGCAGCAGGCTTATATGGTGGTCTTCGGGGGGGTGGGGACTGGGTCTCTCTTCAATGACGTCCATTGCTTGAGGTGAGGTTTGGAGGGTCAACTTGAGAGCCCAAATATGCTATTGGTTGACGTGGGACGCACGCAATAACGCACCCCCGGTGATGTCTTGTGGTTTCAAGACGCCGATATTGTGTGTACCACTGCGGGCGTCTTGGTTTGTACCACTGCGGGTGCAAGTACATCAATAGGTATACTCCTTTGCGAGCGACGTCAGTAAGCGGATAACTCGTCCCCAATTAACGCGATTGGCACGACGGTCGTTCATGATGGATGATGGATGAACCAATTCGAGAGTCCACACACNCCCCCACCACCACCGCACCCTAAAAGGTGTAGCAGCGGGCGGACTTTGGAGTGGGAGAAGGTGTTCGTGAGAGGGAGAAGGCCCGCCAGACGGTACGGGCACTCGATGGTGCCGCTGACCGCGCCCTCCGGCACCTGCGGCTACGCCAAGCTCGTCCTCTTCGGAGGCACCTCAGGTGGGTTGGCCTGTCACCGTTACGGCTAGGCGCGCTTTAAGCTCTCTCTCTTTGCTGCTTCTTCAAGCACTCTCTCTCTGTGCTGCCTTTTTTGTGCTGTTGATTGTGATTGGCGAGTAGTGTGTCTGTTTGTGCTGATTTTATTCACTACCATATATTTTTGTTGTTGCTTGTTTTGTTTTGCCCCCCCCCCCC